GTAACCGGGTTCCCATCTACCGCATTGGCTATAAACGGCAGAAGCTCTTCCCTTTTAAGGAATAAAATAGCAGACGTTCGGTATTAAATAATTTTATTAAACAAAAGCGGAAGACGATTTCCGGTTCTACAAAAGTCGACCCTTGGGACCGCCGTTCTTCCTGTACAAAAGGCGACGCGCTGTCCGCCACGCGTCGCGCCAAAGGCGGCGGCAGGGAATTTCTCCCGCTTGCCGCTTGCCTGGCGCCAAGGCCGGCGGGGAGCCGTCGCCCACTCGACGACCGAGGAAGACGGAGGGGGCCGTCGCGGACGGAAGTCGCCCGCTCCCGGAGCCGGAAACGGAAGACGAACCGCGATTAAAAGTAGGAAAAGGAGGCCGACCGGGCAGTCCGGTCGACCCCGTCGACCCACGCGTGACATAAATTAAAACGAAAAGGTTAAAAACGAAGACTATCAGATCTTTAGACGGGGACCGACCGAAACCCGGTTAGAACAGACGCAAATTAGCCAAAAGAAAAGGGTTAGAGTGGTTATAAACTAGACGCCTGACTGTTGGGGCTCACTGCTTGCCTCCGTAAGTGGGATTCTTGAAGGTGGAGGTGGCCTGTTTGTAGATCGGATTCTCTCCCTGAAAAAGAAAGAGCGGACTCGTCATTGGGGAACCGGATACGTCCCGACCCAAAGAAGAAACGAACTCATCGTGTCCCACTTGGCTATTTGCCTCTCCTTCTCGAACTTGGCGAACTCCCTCCTGTCGTGGATGGTGGTCACAGTAGCGTACCGTAGTGGGGCGGAAAAATTATCTTTTAGGGGGCGACAAAATTTTACAATAAATAATAATAATGTCTTGTAAAAATTTGGAACAACCTAATCTATACTTGCATTGCGCCTACGATAGTGCTATCGTCCCGTCAGTTTAGGAATCGGCTCGCCGTACGGGTGAACTAGTAATTTTCTCATCCGAGGAAATCCTGCGAAACCTGTTGACTTTTTTTTTCTTGCTTGTACGATTCATTCGCGTTCATAGACACCACTAATATTCAATAGAACTATTTTAAACAGGTCGCTGCACTACCACCGAATTTTTCATTGCTTGTTCTGTGACAAAACTGAATTTGGTCTTTTAAATTGAAATGCCTAAATAAGGGGGGCCGAAATTTTTTTTCGCCCCGGGCGGCTGACACCCACGGTACGCCACTGGGTGGTCAGCAGCTTCCAGATCGTCAGTGGGGTCGGACGCACGGCCACGATTCCTTCGATCACTCCCAGAACGATGGCCAGGACGTTGACTGGCTTCGGACAATCTGAAAGAAGTTCCTCTCCGTTTAATACACCGTCGACGGCCAACGTCGTCCGGGGGGAAGCGAAATCCTTACCTTTAGTTGTCTGCACGTGGATTTTGACGTAACCGTCCGAATCGATCTCGTAGGTCAGTGTTCGGCAACGTTTTTCTACTCGCGGCACATCTATGACTCGACATGACTCAATACGGCACACTAAAATGTTATTCCCCTCAAAAACGTATGATATGATGCTATTAATAGAATTTCGTAACGCCATAAACCTATTATTACTATTATGTTGAGTTTTGTGAGTTACACTCGGTTGACACCGATGGCTGTGTACCAGAGTCAAGACATAGTAACTTCAAATCAAAACAAAAACTAAATAATGTGTCAATGTGTATCTGTATTCAGGAATTTTCTAACGATATGTGGCATGTATTCAATATAGCGGCTTTCTGTTGTGTAATGTATGTGTTTCTATTCGCTTTTAATGTTCCCAGGCTTTTGTGTACTGTGTGTGTTATGACACCTGTAGTGGAGAGAACGTCAGGTACTAGACAATAAACACCCTATCCATCGTCCACGATATCTTATTACATGGGCGAGTTCTGCGTACTCGCTGATTTTTCTCACTGCATGTATTTTGTACATTGCGAGTGTTTGGAACAGACATGACAATAATGTATGTGATTTTATTGTGTTTGTCAGTGAGTGTGATGTCTGGTCTGTTGTGGTAAATTGTTTTATCTGTGATTATGGCTGTTGTAGAACATTTTGTGCTTGTAGTTTTCCAATATTGTCTGACAGAGCCGGCCCTACCATAGGGCGAACGGAGCAGCCGCTCCAGGCGCTAAGTCTTAGGGGGTGCCTCAGTGGTAAAGAAAATTAAACGGTATGAATTACGGGCAAACAAGAGGGCGCCATAATAGGATCTCGCTCCATCCTAAAACTTTTCTCGGGCCGGCACTGTTGTCTGTTGAACGTATTTATAGTATGGTTCGTGGATGTCTAATAATTTGTGTTTGTTTACAAGCTCTAGATGTATTTGCTACTTGATTATGTCTATCTGAATTGTCTTTCTGTGGCCAAGAGGCTGCAACCAGAAGTGATGCGTTGTATGGTTTCTGGCACGATGTGACATTTTTCTCATGTGTCATTTGTGATTGTTGATCTTTGAGTATGTGTTTTCTGTAGTTTTTAGTATTTATGACCTAATCCTGTATGGCAATCACGAATCCTTCCGTCTCCACAAAGAAGCATTTTCGAGCTAATCAGCTGTTTGACGCAGTTTTGTCAACAAAATCTTGGGCCAGGTCTTAGGGATGTCTGCCACGGAGTGCCTTTCGTACCCACGATTGCTTAATGGTGTCTTGCTATTTATATGTTGTGTCGTGTCCATACGTTGCGAATGTAAATTTAATGGTGTATTATTTGAGTCTGCTGGAGTTACTGTTTTACGTAACTGTGATGTTTCTTAGTATTTGTACAAACACTCTCACAATGTCTGTATTTGTTTGTAGTGGAGGTTAACTATCTCGGTCAGGCCACGTTCACCATTTTTTTAAATGGATGGATTAAATATAAGCAAAGCACCTAAGAAGTTAGGTGGTTTGTTTTCGAAATGTCTATAAAATGTGTTTTATAAAAAGCAAATTAAAAAAAAAAAATACTAAAAATCAATAGTTTTACGAAATTTAAGTAAAAATTTAATTAAACTTGAAACGTTTACTTATCGTATTTATATATCGTTCTATATTCCACTAGAAAATCTACATAATTGCTTTTTTTAAGAATTATATTGTTTTTATAGTTAATTAAATATTGAGAACAACACATTACTGTATTACAGTAATTCTAAAATTAATTGTTCTTTATAGAAAATTTTCAAAATCAATAATANGTTCTATATTCCACTAGAAAATCTACATAATTGCTTTTTTTAAGAATTATATTGTTTTTATAGTTAATTAAATATTGAGAACAACACATTACTGTATTACAGTAATTCTAAAATTAATTGTTCTTTATAGAAAATTTTCAAAATCAATAATAAGGATGCATTGACAGAGGAGACGTTGTCAACGTCTGAAGAAATCTTCTCTCGTGTGTTGAAAATACCCGAAGTTCTACTACACATATTTAAATATTTGGACGATCGGGACAACAGTGTGGCCAAGTGTGTACTTTATGGAAAGACGTTACCGAAGACATTCTGTATAAGAAAATAGCAATCTTTCGTAAGGTAATTAAGTATTTAATTTGTATACACCTAATTATTATTACATTTTTCACTTTATATACTGAAAAGTGCAAAAGAAATGTTTCGCATTCATTTTTTTAGCATATTGAAGAAAAGTGTAAATGCAATACTGGAAGCGTTCAAAGCAGAATTTCCTTTCGTTACCTTTGTTGTTTTTCGGTATTTTCTCGCATTTCAAGTGTTGAATCTTCCTGACAAGTACAATTTCGATTATGTGGAAGGTTTTTCGCTTAACGAATTTGCAGAAATAGTTTTTGTGTGGTACGAATGAAAATGTAGCGATAAAATAAAATATTTTTCGTCTCGAAGCAAATTAAATCATACTGCAACATTGTACATTCTTTTGTATTGGACTAAATTATGTTTTAACAGAGTAAAATTATTACAAAGCTTCGTATTCAATAACAGCAGAAATTCATTAATTTGTCACCTGAATATGCCGTATTATTGGGTATTTTATACTTTTGCTGCATTCGATAAGCAATATACGATTCGAAAAGAAAACAGGGCACACACTACGGACGTTGATATACGTTTCGTACCATCGAACGCTGCAGTGTGCTTCCGATTTGTTTACGTACTCTGTTTAGGCCCAATTCGCGATGTAGAGACATTCAAAATCCGTTTACGCTGCATTCAGATTTTCCTCAAATGTTTATGAATTATTTTTAGTGACGAATTTACATATTATGAGAAACACTCTTTTTCTGTATTTAAACAGGAAAATCAAAATAATTAAAATGAGTGCCAAAATACTACATAACAAAGCGATTAACATATTTAATTCTTTAATGCGAAATGAGTTTTCTTTTGCACGTATTACGGGTAAAAACGCACAAACAGTTAAAATTCCGAGTCGTCTTATGCCAATAAATTATGATAATTGTAAAATTTATTGTGTTATGATGTTTTTAATGTACGTATTTTAATACATGATTAAATGTGTACTAATTTTCATAAATTTAGTTTAATTGCGTGTTTATATTTGTTTTACAAAAGAAAAAACAATAAAAACGTAGATTTAATTTGTGAAATTTTCTTATAGTTTATTACTTAATATATATTTAGAATAGATACAGATAGTATAGGTGTAGTTAATATTATGTTATATTGCATTTGTAGGCATTTTTATACATGATATACAGCTAAAAAGGCAAAACAAAAAGACTGTTTTTGGAACCGGGAACAAATTAATCCGTTTCATATTGTTTTTTATAAAGAAATTTGTTTTTGTTTAAGAACAAGTCAGTTTTGGGAACGAATTAAAGTTTTGTTAAATTTAAAACGAGTTTCCTTCATATTTTGTTTATACAAATATTTAATAATTTGTTTCCTTTCGATTCGATTTCTCGAAAAGTATTTATATTGTTGTGTCTTCCATTAACACAATGAACATTATTTCATTTAACAACGCAATGTTAATAATTGCATTTTACCAATAATCAAAGCATTTGTCGTACTTTTTCAAACCAGAAATTGTCACAACTCGAGGGAATGGTAAGTGTCATTACTGAAATTATTTAAACTTGAAAACACCTTTCGTATTCTTGAGTTACATGTCTTTCAATGATCAAAATAGAAAATTTTACAATTGTTAAACTTAAAAAACTTCTATCGATCTAAATATTCTAACATAAAAATATGAATAATATATGTAATTATATCGATATATTTGTTTATAAGGAGGTCGCTACAACTGACACAAACGGCAGCATTAAATGCATAGTTTGCCAAAATAACTTTGCAAACGAAGCGCAGTTCCTCGAACATCTGAAGGAGAATCCGAAGTGCGAAAGGTTGACTTGTGACGTGTGTCGAAAACAGTTTACTCGGATCTCCCATTTGAATATACACAAGTTAATACATTCGAACGAAAAAAAATTCAAATGCGAGGAGTGTGATTATTCTACGGTAGATAGAGCAAATTTTAGAAGACACCAAAATAATCACTCAAAAAAAGGACTTTATAAATGTAGCTATTGCGATTATTCGACTGCATGGAAAAGCAATTTAGACAGACATATTTTGGTAAAACATTCGAAAAAATCGAATATCCTCGAAAAAGTAAGTATTTATTGGGAAATTTTTGAAGAAAATTCAATCTACATTCGTACAAACAAATAACATTTAAAATGACTATTAAGAATTTCAAGTTGATGTCATTTTCTTATTGTAATTTACACTTTCAAGTGTTCAGATTACTCGTGTTTGTCAGACATTTTTATTGCATTTTCTTTATTTAGAAGTAACAATTAAAAAATTTTATTTCGTTGATTCTAATTCTTGTACTAATGTGTGTATATCGAAAAGGTATATTAGTAAAGGAGAAGGTGGTATTATGGAACCCCATTTTCATTATAGTGAATTGTAAACAAGGTATCGTAACCACACCTACATTTTCTGTACCAAAAGTAGTGGTAACTATTAAACTAAATGTTCCTAATTGGATTTTTCGCTAGTGTAACTATAAGTATAGTTTTTGAAGGCTTTTGTACAAAATGTCAGAAAGTAGCCTTAGGGAAAACCAAGTGGTAATATGGAATCTTACTGTATGTTTTCAAAAAAATGCTTTAATGTATCAAAAAAATAGGAAAGTACAAAGAATGTTAAATAATTAAATAATCATTTACTCCAATGTATTTTATCGAAAAAATGCTTTTATAAATAATAGAAAATATGATTTCCATCAGCAATATATATTCCAGCAGCTCTTTTTCGATATTCACAAGAAGAATTCACTTTTTACCTAGTGTCTTTTTCACGAATTGCTCCGGACGAATGTCTGCTGGCAAAGAGAGATTCCATATTAAAAGCACCGACGGGGTCCGTATTTCACGCATCGCCATCTCGAATTAACTTATGTCTGTTAAAAAACGTGAACATCACATAGATTAATACGTACCCGTAAGTACATAATACCACCTTTTTGTCTAATGTTTTCGATATTATATAAGCCTTTGATATTTTTTATATAAAGCAGTAGTTTTTATAATATAATTTTGGCTTAGATTTTGCCGAGATATCTAAATTTGGAAAAATATCGATGCAACATTTGCTCGAAACCTTTCGCATTTCTATCTGATTTAAAACGTCACGAGAGAAATCATACGGGGAAAAAACCGTTTCACTGTGATTATTGTTTTCGAAGGTTTACACGACAAGATAAATTAAACGAACACAAGGGAATAATTCATTCGACAGTAGAAAAACAATTTCCGTCTCAGGTAAATAAAAGTATATTTAAATAAGAATAATATCCTAGTTTAAAATAAACAAGAAGTTAAAATTTGTACTAATTTTCTATAGTAACTTGTACTAAATCTGCGTATAAAGAATCTTTTAATTGTAAAAGTGTTGATTTCGTAACGGTCATTGTGAAGTGTTTTCTGTTATAATAACATTGACGTGCTATGACATGAATATAGTTTCTAACAATATGCAGTTGATTGGTATGATTCACAGTTATTTACAAACGTTTTCACAGTATTGAAGATTTTTAAAGGCGTTTTAATTATTTTTCGTCCAATTATTTTTATGTGATATTTTAAATTTCTTTTGTTTTGTTACGCGGTGGTTTATCTAGAAATGTCCCGACACCACAGAATTATCGATATTTTAAAAGCCAATATCTCTATCGATTTACGAGACTGAAAATCTAGCCGGCTGTCGCTGTTCAGTCTGCTGCTTTGTTTTTACTGCTGAGAAAGTACACCTTTCCCTTTTTTTGAGAAGTTGATACGTTCCAAAGAAACTGTGTAAAAAAATTCGTATAAATATACGGTATATCCACAACTTCCATGCAAAAAAATTAATCAAGTTACAGAATAAACACGCGCTTTTATTAATCTAACGTCGTTTATCATTAAGTTATTTGTATGTATACAGGTATATAATAAACACAAGATATCGTAGGAAGCAAAACCGATCTTCCCGAATTCTCTGATGCGCATGTAGTACTACACCGTGTATAAAAAACATAAATTAACTCTTAACTTCAACAAAAAAGTAACATTTTTTAAGAATAAAACAATTAAAACTGCAGCAATTAATATTTTTCGCTTATTTTAAAAAATTAAATGCCGGCTATCTAGATCACAAGTCAGTGCGTCAGTTACTATTTAAATTTAGATAAATACACAAAAGAAGCCCCAAATCTTTAGTCCCGCTAATGGGTCTGAAAGTACAGCTATACATGGGACAAGGGTGTATAAGACATCGGGACCCACCATTGGCCAAGCATTCCTGGGAGTTGGGTCATGGGATCCCACCTCGTCCGGATGGGCTGGAAGTTTAAGATTTTTCTCTATGTCTGTAACGCCTGAATAAAAGCCAATTACCCTTAAAAGATTTCTCGGAATGGATCCTAGCGAAGTGTTTCATTGCCGTAACTTAACAAAATAAACAAACACAGGAAATTGTTGGGAAAGAGGTAAACAGTGTCTTTAGATAAATACTTTTTTATTGTATACAAATTTTACAAATGTCGGTGCCAAATTGTAGCCCATTTTAAACATCGCTGATTGCCCAAGTTGATTCACACACAAAACTATTGCGCAATGTTTAAGTAAATATTTATCTACGTATATAAATAGAAATTTAAACTTTAGACATGTAGACTATAGATTCTGGAAATAGAATTTCACATAATACATTTAGTGGTTTTTCGTCATAACCAAAAATAGCATAAAATTTAATTTTAGTTTTTAATTCGACTGCAAAATCTAATTTCGTACACACTTTACCTGTCCGTGAAAAATATAACCAAATGTGATCCGATGCGCAAGGAAAAGTATCGGTATCGGCAGTATCGGGACTTCCCTGAATTTCAAATATTCAAATAATTTTTATGCTATTCATCGAAATTTTATCATTGTTATGGTAGTTCTAATATTAGTTGTCAATTAAAAGCATCGTAGAACGGTATAAAAAAAATTGCATAATTAACAATATTTGTCAATTGTTTAGCATGTTACAGGAGAAGGTACGTCAAAATCTTTTAAAATCTCGGAACAGAGTGAAATGCACTCTTCTGCCGAAATCTCAGCAACGACTTCCATTCGAGAGGAACATCTTGAAACAAACGAGAAAGATAAAAGTTTGCAATTTTCTGAAAAATTATGGCAATGTCATCAATGTCGCTTTACTACAAACTCCGAGAAAGAATGGTTCGTACATAAACAGACACACGTCAATGCCCCATGCACGTCAAAGGTATTTAATTGTCGTATTCTGTTTAAAAGTTTTAGTACTTTGTAAATAAACATTCAGTTTAAGTTAGGAAAAGACACCAGAACACCTGCCCTTCTCTACTGTAATTTACTCGCCCACCAGCCTTGGTGGGCGAGTAAATTACAGTATAGGAAAGTTAATTTTTAGTTTATAAAATCGAGTTTTTGACAATTTTATGAATAAAATACATTGCAATATACTCATTGTATATGTAATAAGTAAGTGGTGAAACCAGGTTGAAAAAGTAGAGCTCGGCAGAAATAAAGAAAACTTTCAAAAGTTCTGGAATAACAATAGTGGAAGCATCAGTTAAGAATCATCAGTTATGGGATAAGAATAATGGAAGATTTGACAGTAAGACTGTTGTTGTCAATAAAGTTCACCTTACATACACTACAAGTTGTAGTCTATGTAATGTGAACTTTATTGACCAAGTAGTTGTAGTCTACAACTACTTGGAGGAAACAGTCACTGTGATAATAAATCGGATAAATAAACATCGTCACGCAAAGAGTTTTCGAATTTTACTTTATGCCTTAATGACGTTGCTTTACATTTATGTCGTTGAACGTTAGAACACGTTTGAAAACTGTCAGCGAAGAAAGTTTGAGGCACGAAATACAGCTGGAAGCTTATTTTCTGAAGATGCTCGTTTTTCCGATTTATTATCATTGCAACCGCTTTCTCTGAAACTTCTTGTAGTTGTTGTGTCTGTGTAATGTGAACTTTATTCACATTACACAGACACATTGATTGTGTCCCAGGAAATAATAGTGAAAAATCTGGTGCGGTCGAGCAAAGACATTAAAAGTTAATACTGTTAAATCAGGTGTATGCAGGTTTTGGTGGTCGTCTATATTTAGTCCGAACTCCCAGAGAATAAGTATGAAAACTTTAATGTAGACCGAGTAAAGGATTTAGGAATTCTCAGTGTCTCAGAGAATATATATATATATATATATATATATACCGTAATTACTNGGAGGCAAAAACATAAAAAATGTCCAAACGTTAAAATATCTAGGAATCTTTTTTGACAGGAATTTAAACTGGAAGACGCATGTACACGAAGTATATGGTAAAATGATAGAAAGAACGAATCTGATTGAACACATCAGCAGAAACACCTGGGGTCTGGGCCCAAAGAATGCCCGTCTCATCTACAAAGGAGCCATTGAACCGGGAATATTATACGGAGTACAAGTATGGGGAGAAGCACTGGAGAAAAACTATAATAAAAAGAAATTAACAACAATACAAAGAAAAGCTGCCATTAGAATATGCAGGGCATATAGAACTTCTCCTACGGACGCCCTATTGGTGATGGCCAAATTAAAACCAATACATCTGGCTGCCAAGGACATCATATGGGAAAGAAGCCTAATCAAAGGAAAAAACAAGTTTAAAACAGAAGAACAGATAACGACGGAAATAAAGAAAGGCCAACTCCCCGATAACAAACAACTAATCAAAACAATTATAGAAAATGATACGGAAGACATAGACAAAACAACAATCATTGCCAATCCAGCAGAAAAAGAGACATACAAAATAAAATTGAACTACAAAGAAGCCACCGACAAAAGAAACATCATAAACATATACACAGATGGATCGAGAACTAGCACAGGGGTGGGAAGTGGAATCATAATTAAAGGAAAAAATGGAAATACAATGTATCAAGGTTCATTCAAAATAGCGGATTACTGTACAACTGTGCAAGCTGAGACATTTGCCATATATAAAGCTCTGGATCACATTTACAAAAATAAAAATCATTATAGAGGTGAATTAAACATTCATACGGATAGCCAAACGGCTCTGTCAATTCTTAAAACAAAAAACAGGAAAACTAAATTAACAAATGAATTGATACAGATATCTGAAAAAATACAAAGAATCCGGAACATCACTTTCAGCTGGATTCCAGGCCATCAAGGCCATAAAGGAAATGAGATGGCGGATGAATTAGCCAAAAGAGCGACAAGAACTGACATAAATAGGATCTATACAAGGATTCCAATAAAGGAAATTAAAAAACAAATTAAGAATATAACGGAAAAAATATGGCAACAGGAATGGACAACATCTACAACTGGCCGCAATTGTTTCAAGTACTTCCCTAACATAAAAGACAGATTACAAAACAAAGTTTTTAATCTCTCATTTGGGATCACACAATGTATAACAAATCATGGTAACTTTAAAGCATATTTACATAGATTCAAGAAAATAGATAATCCCTATTGCGACATTGATACCACTAAAGAAGACAACGCTCACCATTATTTAATGGAATGCACCAAATTTAATAATCAACGAGAGACCTTTATAGAAAAATGCTTACGTGCAGGCCATAATTGGCCCCCGAGAGACACTGATCTAGTAACAGATAAAAACCTGTTTAAAGCTTTGGAAAAATATATAAACGACACTAAGGTGCTTATTGAAATTAACCACAAAAACAAACATCAAAAGGATGACAGACAAAATAGTGACAACAAAGAACACATGACTGACAACTCGGAAGAAGAGGAAGACATCATCAGAAGGGAGGATGATGAAAGTGATACAGGAATTCAGACTACAACAGGTGAAGAAAGGGGAGTAGAGAGTGAGACTTCTGCGTGAAAGCGGACGTTGAAACAAAACTACATGGAAGTATATGGTCACGCAAAACAAGGCAATGAGTCACTTGTAAATATTTTTATTATTTCAATTTAACCAACTGGTTTAAAATTATTCTACAAGGTCTCCCACCATTGTAATAATCCTTCGAGAAGAAACTTTGAAATTATACTCTTTTCCTTGCTTGGCAGTTGAGACTGTAAGTACCAGTCCAACTTGCCATGCTTGCCACATTCACTTGATTTGGAGCAGAAAGGACTACCATTGATAGTCCCATTCCCGCGCTGCTCCAATTATTATTGTTTACCCTCAAGGGCTTATGTAATCAGCATTTCTAATTTCTTACATAATATAAGTTATTGTAAACATTGTCGGGACTTAAACTCTGGAAAGACTCCAGCTGTATTATAATTGTATATATTGTATTATTTTGTTCAAAAAATGCCGATGCAGACGCCACGAGTCCCATGCCTTCTTTCACACTATCCTATCTTTCTTTCTTTTCACACTTCACATCTCATGCTTTCTCTTCTTTCCTACTTCCAAGGGCTAAGTACGTCGCTTAAAAGACGGACAGCTCTCTAATCTCTTTTCTCAGAAGTATGAAGTAATACACGTCAATTTTTTAATAGTACGTTCAATTAATTATTTGGAATGGAAGTCGTAAATATCTGTAAAACATGCTATTTGTGATAATATAAAGAGAAATAAAACTAAATTTCACCTAAAATGGACAGAAATAGTAGGAGTTACGCCTTTATATTAAAATATTACAAATTCTTTATGTTCTGAGTAAATATTCTATTGTGGTTTTCGTTCTGTCTTTCTTTAGTAATACACACTTTAATATTGTTTATTCACGAAGTAAGTTTAAAATACGCCATTTGCCATAATATTTAAAAATTAACTAAATAAAGTCACCTAGGTCACTACGATATAAGTGCGATGACCGGTCAGAAATCAATAAAAAGTTTATTTTGGACTAATATTTGGATAAAATAACTAGTCTATACTTTCCGATAGAATATGAAACGAATAAAACCAAAATTTTATCCGGATTGGACAAAAACTGCAGGAGTTACAAAAAATTCACACACACTTACGACGACTTTTATATTATTAATAGTCCGGGCTTTAGGTTTTTATATTATCTGTAAGAAGGAGCGCTTGGACAATTTATGCAAAAAAATAAATATTCTGTATAAGAAACGAAATTCAGAATTTTTAATACTTATTTGATATTGTAATACGTACATACAATAATAGACATTTCAAAATGCAGAAAATAACAATTTAATTTACAATGTTTCATTTAAAAATTACTAAATTTCGTTTAGTTAAATCATTATATCCATTTACCCTTTTATAAGATGGTAATCATTAATTGAATATCACAAATTATAAATTCTATGCCAGGAAATTAAAAAGAAAAGTTAAGAAAATGAAGATTTACCATAATTACAGTTACGAAATTATGAGTTTTTTTCATGCAACTTTTATGACATTTCTTGTATGAATGGCATTTAATTTAAATTATAATTTTACAATGTAAATAAATTCTCGAACGTTCATTCGCACGTAATGATAACTTCGCATCATAATAGTAAAATTCTCCTAAGCAATGATTATGTAAATATAAAACGCTGGAAACTGGTGGAGGTGAAATAATGTTTTTATTTTACGAGTGGCAAAATAATAATTTCATGTATGGACCGTCGTAGATTTTGACGTTCGTCACAATAACTGTTTCTTCAAAATTTCGTAAGCCATTTGCCGGCGAGAATAAGGCATATCCTGTGTGAAATTAATTCTTGCATTTCTTGTTATATACTCCGCATATTTCAATGGAAACATTCCACAATCGCTTTCATTTATTTGATGTGGGTTTTCTTTAGCCGAAAACGGAGAGAAATTCAAAAACTCGTAATGCCCAAACAAAGATTTCAGACTTAGCACTTTTAATGTTCAAAAACATGAAATTTCGAAACAGTGAAACTCAACGCCTTATTTCATAGAGGTCTTCTAATGCAACTCGTAATTTCATTCGTCTCTATTTACTCTTTAATTATCCACACAACCTTTCAATATCGATACAGAAAAATTAATTTTTATAATTATCCAAAACTGATAAAACGCCGAAAGTGTTGGTTTTGTTGTTTTCTGTCGAGTTGCATCCACTTTTTTTCTCGTAGCCTAGTTTCACTAACGTTGACAAAATAGAATAAAATCCACATAACATCTGCAAAATAAGAAAGAATTTTATTCCAGCCAGTGTTTATAATTACAAGAACATAGAATATGAAATGCAAANACAAAATAGAATAAAATCCACATAACATCTGCAAAATAAGAAAGAATTTTATTCCAGCCAGTGTTTATAATTACAAGAACATAGAATATGAAATGCAAATGTTAGAACTAAACTGTGAAATTGCAAAAATCATGTTTACATAAGTTCTCACACTGGGAATTTTTATACTGGAAAAACTCTTAATATGTATCTAACGCATCGCACACATGGTCAGTGAGAAAGTAAATTCGGGTTTAATGAAATACGCCAGAGATAAGTACTCACTCTCATGGCAAAGTTTTTCTTGATGAAAAAGAATCTTCCGATAGAAATACCGAACGGGGTCTTTCTGAATTTCTTCATGAAATCTAGAAACTAATCAGGTAAGTTTATTAATCAAATTGTTTAAGGTTAAAAGCCGAATTTAATAATTAATCGAGTATTTCGAGCGGTGTCAACCTCGAGTTTGCTTTTAATTATCATGTAAACGGAAGAAANCGTCTCAGGTAAATAAAAGTATATTTAAATAAGAATAATATCCTAGTTTAAAATAAACAATAAGTTAAAATTTGTACTAATTTTCTATAGTAACTTGTACTAAATCTGCGTATAAAGAATCTTTTAATTGTAAAAGTGTTGATTTCGTAACGGTCATTGTGAAGTGTTTTCTGTTATAATAACATTGACGTGCTATGACATGAATATAGTTTCTAACAATATGCAGTTGATTGGTATGATTCACAGTTATTTACAAACGTTTTCACAGTATTGAAGATTTTTAAAGGCGTTTTAATTATTTTTCGTCCAATTATTTTTATGTGATATTTTAAATTTCTTTTGTTTTGTTACGCGGTGGTTTATCTAGAAATGTCCCGACACCACAGAATTATCGATATTTTAAAAGCCAATATCTCTATCGATTTACGAGACTGAAAATCTAGCCGGCTGTCGCTGTTCAGTCTGCTGCTTTGTTTTTACTGCTGAGAAAGTACACCTTTCCCTTTTTTTGAGAAGTTGATACGTTCCAAAGAAACTGTGTAAAAAAATTCGTATAAATATACGGTATATCCACAACTTCCATGCAAAAAAATTAATCAAGTTACAGAATAAACACGAGCTTTTATTAATCTAACGTCGTTTATCATTAAGTTATTTGTATGTATACAGGTATATAATAAACACAAGATATCGTAGGAAGCAAAACCGATCTTCCCGAATTCTCTGATGCGCATGTAGTACTACACCGTGTATAAAAAACATAAATTAACTCTTAACTTCAACAAAAAAGTAACATTTTTTAAGAATAAAACAATTAAAACTGCAGCAATTAATATTTTTCGCTTATTTTAAAAAATTAAATGCCGGCTATCTAGATCACAAGTCAGTGCGTCAGTTACTATTTAAATTTAGATAAATACACAAAAGAAGCCCCAAATCTTTAGTCCCGCTAATGGGGTCTGAAAGTACAGCTATACATGGGACAAGGGTGTATAAGACATCGGGACCCACCATTGGCCAAGCGATTCCTGGGAGTTGGGTCATGGGATCCCACCTCGTCCGGATGGGCTGGAAGTTTAAGATTTTTCTCTATGTCTGTAACGCCTGAATAAAAGCCAATTACCCTTAAAAGATTTCTCGGAATGGATCCTAGCGAAGTGTTTCATTGCCGTAACTTAACAAAATAAACAAACACAGGAAATCGTTGGGAAAGAGGTAAACAGTGTCTTTAGATAAATACTTTTTTATTGTATACAAATTTTACAAATGTCGGTGCCAAATTGTAGCCCATTTTAAACATCGCTGATTGCCCAAGTTGATTCACACACAAAACTATTGCGCAATGTTTAAGTAAATATTTATCTACGTATATAAATAGAAATTTAAACTTTAGACATGTAGACTATAGATTCTGGAAATAGAATTTCACATAATACATTTAGTGGTTTTTCGTCATAACCAAAAATAGCATAAAATTTAATTTTAGTTTTTAATTCGACTGCAAAATCTAATTTCGTACACACTTTACCTGTCCGTGAAAAATATAACCAAATGTGATCCGATGCGCAAGGAAAAGTATCGGTATCGGCAGTATCGGGACTTCCCTGAATTTCAAATATTCAAATAATTTTTATGCTATTCATCGAAATTTTATCATTGTTATGGTAGTTCTAATATTAGTTGTCAATTAAAAGCATCGTAGAACGGTATAAAAAAAATTGCATAATTAACAATATTTGTCAATTGTTTAGCATGTTACAGGAGAAGGTACGTCAAAATCTTTTAAAATCTCGGAACAGAGTGAAATGCACTCTTCTGCCGAAATCTCAGCAACGACTTCCATTCGAGAGGAACATCTTGAAACAAACGAGAAAGATAAAAGTTTGCAATTTTCTGAAAAATTATGGCAATGTCATCAATGTCGCTTTACTACAAACTCCGAGAAAGAATGGTTCGTACATAAACAGACACACGTCAATGCCCCATGCACGTCAAAGGTATTTAATTGTCGTATTCTGTTTAAAAGTTTTAGTACTTTGTAAATAAACATTCAGTTTAAGTTAGGAAAAGACACCAGAACACCTGCCCTTCTCTACTGTAATTTACTCGCCCACCAGCCTTGGTGGGCGAGTAAATTATAGTATAGGAAAGTTAATTTTTAGTTTATAAAATCGAGTTTTTGACAATTTTATGAATAAAATACATTGCAATATACTCATTGTATATGTAATAAGTAAGTGGTGAAACCAGGTTGAAAAAGTAGAGCTCGGCAGAAATAAAGAAAACTTTCAAAAGTTCTGGAATAACAATAGTGGAAGCATCAGTTAAGAATCATCAGTTATGGGATAAGAATAATGGAAGATTTGACAGTAAGACTGTTGTTGTCAATAAAGTTCACCTTACATACACTACAAGTTGTAGTCTATGTAATGTGAACTTTATTGACCAAGTAGTTGTAGTCTACAACTACTTGGAGGAAACAGTCACTGTGATAATAAATCGGATAAATAAACATCGTCACGCAAAGAGTTTTCGAATTTTACTTTATGCCTTAATGACGTTGCTTTACATTTATGTCGTTGAACGTTAGAACACGTTTGAAAACTGTCAGCGAAGAAAGTTTGAGGCACGAAATACAGCTGGAAGCTTATTTTCTGAAGATGCTCGTTTTTCCGATTTATTATCATTGCAACCGCTTTCTCTGAAACTTCTTGTAGTTGTTGTGTCTGTGTAATGTGAACTTTATTCACATTACACAGACACATTGATTGTGTCCCAGGAAATAATAGTGAAAAATCTGGTGCGGTCGAGCAAAGACATTAAAAGTTAATACTGTTAAATCAGGTGTATGCAGGTTTTGGTGGTCGTCTATATTTAGTCCGAACTCCCAGAGAATAAGTATGAAAACTTTAATGTAGACCGAGTAAAGGATTTAGGAATTCTCAGTGTCTCAGAGAATATATATATATATATATATATATATACTGCTGCAAGGACCCGCTTCGCTGGGTTTTATTTGTGGGCAAAAAGTAACGATAGTGAAGATTAAGATAATTACATTATAGCCAATCTTACCCGTTTTCACAGAATGCAAGAATTAGGTCCCCCGTTTCCAGACTAATTAGAGACTTTTTACGTCCAGTCAAACGAACTATTTTCAATTTGATCAATTTTCTGGAACGTTTACAATCGTTGTACAATCGAACCAATTCGAATTTAAATTCGAATTCGAAAATTTTAAAATCGAAATAGAATATCTTTCACTTTCAACCACTTTCAAGCCCATATCTCCCGCACCCTTACAGCTATCGAGACGCAA